TTGCTTTAGAGTGAAGTTACTGGTTTATAATGTAAACTGGTATCAGAGACAGAATGACTCAAAGAACTGAAGCTGTAATGACTAAGCTGATGTAATGAGACATCAGGAAACTTCAGGAGATGATACCAAAATCCTTCAAAGATGGAGTTGAAGAAGTTATGATCAGGCCTCTTAGTATCTAAGTAGTTTCCTATAAGCTCCAACATGCAGATGATATTCTAAAGACACTAAAAGATCAAGAAAAGCAGAGTATGAAGCTAAACTAGATTTGAATTCTTTTCTTCTGAACAGTATCTTCACTGAATTAAACCTTCAGTGTTCAAGTATCATCACAGTAAAGTTTATGGAACAGTGCTAATAATGACTGTCTTAGGAACAGTTAAGTACCCCTAGCCTAACACAAAAGCCTGGCTTTGCAATGGGGGGAAGGGGCAGTTTCTTTAAATCAAATTTCCTTACAAGACCAACAAAATAATCTGGAAAATGCCTGTCCTTGACTCAACAGCATTCATTAACCAGTATTCAAGAGGGAAAATCCATCTTATAGTTGACTAGAAAATGGATGCGGTGTTATAATGAGTTAATAAGAAACACATATTTGGTCATTCATATGACCAAACTACAGTTTCTGAAAACACCGCAGTCTTAAAGGTGAAACTGGTGTTTTGTCATATTAAAGAGAGACTTTTAAACCCCACTCAAGTGTGGGGGCTGAAGGCTGAATCAATGAGTTAGTCAATCATGACTGTGCAGTGAATCCTCCCACACCCATGAGAAGAGCTCGCTCTCTGCTCTGCTGGGTTGGGCCCTTCTTCTGGGTTGGAGGGAGTTTCTATGCTTGGGGAACCAGAACACCTCCACGTGACACTAAACCAGGCCCCAAGTTCCATGAGGACAGAATCTCCAATATTTATTCAGGACCTTGCGCTGTGTCTCTCTTCATCTGGATGTTAACTTGTATCCTTTATGGTATCCTTTATTAAACTGGTAAAGTATAAGTGTTGTCCTGAGCTGCTCTAGCAAATTAATAGAAGTCCAATCAGAAGCACAGGGAACTGCTTGGGGCTCGTGACCAGTGTGTGGAGTCAGGGTGGAGGACAGTCTCATAGGATGGAGCCCTTAACCTGGGAATCTGGTGCTGTCTCTGGGCAGATAGCGTCATAATTGAGTTGTCCAACACCCTGCTTGTGTTCAAGAATTGCTTGGTGTAAATATGTGTGGGAAAACCCCCTCCCACATATTTACACACACTGGAATCAGCTCCGGGTATGTGAATCAAGTTATACTAATATTACTGCTGTGTATACATCTGTGTAGGGAAAAAGTACACCACTGAATTTGGTCTTGGACCAGTGGGAATCACTGATGCCTACAGGAAAACTGCATAAATCCTAAATTTGCATTCATGTGAAAAAACTACCTCATCGATTTTTAAAATCAGCAAATATAGAAACTGAAGTACAAAATACTGTTGGGGAAGCGTAATCCATTATTTTCCTGTTTTTCAATAGTAAAATGACAAGCATAAGTTATATAACTTAATAGAAGTATTAAATTACACATTATACCTTACTAATGATTTTAAAATTCTCTTAGATATATCTAGTTTTAACTAATTTTAATACTCACAATAAAACTGATGAAAGTGTTCCATTTTTGGTATCCCAGGAACAAAGTTGTAGAGATGAAACTTCAAAGCTTCACTCTTCAACAAGCTATAAGCCATCTCTGTAAGATTGATTCCAACTATTGCATAAGAATACCTATGTCAGAAATATTATCAGTTTTACCAGCTAGCCAAATAGCTCACAAAACAAATTTAAAATTGTGCAAGGAATTAGTAAAAGTTACTCTGATCCATTTCTAACTCAAAAGTATTGATTTTATGATAGTCTCTACATATTAAGAAAAATAAGCCAGAATAGATAAAAGAATTGTGTTTTTTAGAGGCTGTTGATTTTCTGGATATAATCTATGAAGTAAAAATAAAGCTCTAGTCACATGAATATCTAAAAAAAGAATCCTTAAACAAAATTTGAAAGAGTACTACCTGTCATTAATTTCTAAAATACACTGGGTAATCTGACATTTTCTCCTCCATTATTAGGATATTTATTTTTATAATGTAATATTGTTATAATGTTCTTCAGAGGTATCATTGGAATATAAAAATAAAATAATGATAAAGCTAATAATAGAACTTCCATTTACATTTCACTTCACAATTTTCAAAGCTGTCTCATTTTCCTATTCCTATTTCAAAGCTATTTCTTATTCTTATTTTCAAATCTATTTCTGAAAATTTTTTTATAAAGGTCTTTATATCCAACTGACAGATAAACTGTATCATGTGATAAAAATATATGAACTGGTATATGATCACGTTCAGCCTTAAAAATGATGTAAAATATACACAATATCCTTTACAAAGTTCTTAATTAAATTCTCATTTTTTAAATACCTTGAAATACTTTAAAATTGAGATCATCTAATCAACTTAAGTTCAACTACTTACAGTTTCTTTGATATATCCAGCTTACCCTAATTTTGGATGATTTGAGCGGGAAAGAATCTGATGAGCTTCATTGGTATAATTTTCACTGAAATACCTAAAGAAGTTTAGGAAAAATAAAATTAACATGTGTCATTCAAATTGAAGACATCCAGCAGCAATTTAAAAAGTTATTTTCAAAATAAGTCCTACTATTGGCCCAATCACACCATTCTCCTTCTCAAATCACTTCAGTGCCTCTGAAATGCTTTCAGATCAAAATTTAATTTAGAGCTATAACTTATCTAGTACAGGACATAGGCCCTTGATAGACTTTAAAGTATTCTAACAAATAAATGATCTAGCAAGAGACTATCTACCTTTAACAAAAAATCTAGAATTCTTTTAGTTTGTTTGCTGTTTATTGCTGTTATTCTAAATTTTCTAGGAAATAGCCAAGGTGTACCTTTTGGGATGATCTTCTGTCACATAGGTTTATTCTTTCGAAGGTAACTTAAATCTGTATTGTTCAATGTTATTTTCAATGTAATCAGAAGAAACTCAGTAACCTTCCTTTTTTACTAAAAAAAACCTTGATCAGTGCTATAACTAAAATAATGGCCAGAAATATTAGTAGATATAACAGAGAGAAATATATAAAGCTAACTATTTGTAGGCTCATATATCCTATTGGCTTATACTAATACAACCTCTTGAGTTCTTAAATAAATAAATAATGAATTTCCATGGTTTATTTAAATTTTAGAGGGCACAATCATTGAAGTTTTCATAAAGCATAGAAATTTCTAATCAAATCTTCCCTGTTTTTTCTTTTATAGGTGAATACTATAGACTTCCATTTTTCTTCACTGGCTCTAATATTCAACCCATTAAAACAGGGGTTGTTAACTTGGAAGTTCGTGAGTAACGGATCATTCATTAATGAAGGGTATCCATGAGCCACCTTAAATTATGCATAAATTTTTCTGTGTGCACATTTTCTGGGAAGAAAACAAAGCTTTCATCAGATTCTCAAAGGGATCTGTAAATGCAAAAACAGGAAGAAGTCCATTTTCAGTGGAATGTTTTCCTTACATACTCTAATTTTTCTACTTTGTCCCTAGGTTGGCTCTAAGAATACCCTTAGTAAAGTGTTTATATTCGACTTTTTTTACATTACACTAGTCAAGCTACTCTTAAAATGTTCAATCCGTAACACAGAACTTTACATTTCCTTGCTGAACTTATTTAATCTATGTTAACACTATGTAAGAAAACTTAACATCTATGCAATAAGGAAAACTATTCCTTACAATAATCTGCATTGAGTTTCTTCCTTATTTCTTTTCCTTCTTTCCTTCCCTCTCTCCCTTCCTACAGGTATTTCTGGCCTTAACTTACATATTCTACTTTTCTGCTTCCATTTCCTCATCTATTCAGATTTCTTTGGTCTGTCTTGAAGTCATTTTCTGTACAGTATCCTTTCTTCTACACCTCCCTTAGCATTCATTTATCTAAATAAAGCATTGTTATCTATCAAATTACCAGCTATCCTCCAAAGCAACAAAATATCTTGAGATTAGATGACAAAGGGCAAGAAATTTAAAAAAATAAATCACATAGGAGTATCTGACAGTCTTCTTGACTGTATCATTATTTTGATCCTGATGAGTCATAGCTCTAAATACAGGACAAAAATATAATTAGAGAAGAATCAGAGCTAATTTTATGTTTTCAACCATTTCAGGTCTATCACTGGCAATCAAATAATTAATATATGTGAATTTTGGTCCTTTTTCAAATTAGTAGATGCTAGCTTTAAATAGAGTAAAAATATCTGTAAGTCATTTAAAGGTCTATCAGAATCCCTCACCACACTCTTGAATAAAATCCTACTATTTAAGTTTTAAGTTAAATTCTTTTCTGGCAAATGCTGAAAAATCTTGAATTCTGAGGAAAAGAGCCAGAAGCAAGGTTACTCAGAAAAAGTTAAAAAAACACCAGAATAGGGTGTACCTAATTCAGATTCAAGTATCTGTGTAGTCTATAAGTACCAAGAAGGAAGATAGTCTTCAAAGGCTAAGAACAGAAGATCCATGTCTTCTAAAAAATCATAAACTTTTAAAATATTTTATGTTTCCACATCGAAACAAATTGCATTTATTCTATTTAAATTCCAAATTTTCTGTTTATCAAGGTGGAAAGCTGGCCATCTCATTTTTTGTAATTTTTTTTTAAGACTACTATGTTTTATCTCTGGGAGGCAGACTTATAGGGAACTTTCTCATAAAATACTCATAAAATTTAGTTATTATAGAAAATACTTTTTTAATTGGAAAAATTATAGATATTGAAACTGTACTGTGTCTTCTATTTTCCCCCAAAATAACCTTATCCATATTGATCTAGATATTTTTTCTCTATATTAACATAAGTTAGCTCAGTTTGAAGACTAATTTTTTCACAGTAACAAATATCCAACTTTGTTGATGATTAGGTTTCCCATTCTAGGCATTTCAGTCTATAAATCATAATTCAAGGACAGACCTAAACAGAATCCCTTCATTTGCATATCTATATCCATATTAATCTTCCAGTTTACTTTCTAGAATAATTTTGGCTATTAATTCTGATTTTATTTCCATATTTGGGGATTTCATTTATGTGCCCAAGCTTAAGTAAAGAAGAAAAAAAAGAGAGTGAGTCCAGACAGGCTCTGAAAAGTTAGGGGCTTAGGTTAACAGATGGCAAAGAATAAGTGTGAAGAGACTTGATTATCATTGTATCTGGTTATATTTCTCAGAATGGAACCACAGAGCCAAGAGAGAAGAGGCAAAGAATAAAAAGAGTAAGAAAAGAGCATACGTGATTCCTTAAGAGGTATAAGAAAGGAGGTGAGAAAGAGAAAGGAAGAGAGAAGTGAAATCACATACACACAAAGTGTATTTCCAATGTCTAATATTGTGGCCAGCACATAAGCAAATACTTTTAGCACTGCAGCTATTAAAATTCTAGTATGAGACAACTTGATCAACTCTTATGAGAATTTAACAATATTGGAGATTACATTTAATTTCATTTAAAGAAGAAAAGAAAGTTTATTTTCACTTACACGAGATTGATTAATCCAAGTATGCCCATGCCTCTGAAATCTGTTTTGGGATCATCACCCTGGAAACCAATGTCAGCCCACTGCTTGGAGATTCTAGCCTTCAACTTTTTCGTGGGCATTAGAAGACTCCAAAGCTGTACAAACATACTTCCATATTACAAATAATAGTAATGTTCTTATTTTACCAAGACATTTTTCCTTCTCATGACTGGTACAGTAAATTGAATGCTTTCAACTAAACAGCTTTTGTAGATAAATCATAGACTGTATTAGAGAACTTTTCAATTATCCTGAAAAGACTGTATTAGAGAACTTTTCAATTATTCTGAAAAATGTAGCATACTTAACCCAAATTTAAAAGACCGACAGAAAGATCTTAAAAAGGTAACAAATATGCAGAAATCTATAATAATGTAGTATCTTTACAAAGTAATTCATATAAACTAGAATTGGTAAACTGTTTCCCTGAGAAGAATAGTGTTAGGTACCTGGCCCTTGCTTCAAACACTATATACTAAAGTAGGGTCTATTCCAATCGTGGGTAATTAATTAGTCCCTAACTAGAAAAACAAAAATAGGGCTGAGATAGGGAGAGGATTATGAAGAAATAAAACTGATAGTATTCCACCCTATATGACCATTGTTTTACAAATTTTCATAGTTCTAAAAGGAAAAATAAATATGAGTCGGTTTTTCCTTCAGACTAAGAATTTAAGAAAGCTATCAAATATTAGATAGCAACAAGGTAATCAATGCAAAATAAAGTTTAAAATATTTAATCATTTTCTAAACTCAATACTGCAAGTCATCAAACAAAACAGACTGACAAGTTGATAAGCAAGTTTGTGAACATTTGCAAAACAGAAATACTTGCATTTTTTCCCATTTGACTACTATTTCAGGCATTGGTGAGTAAAGGACTCCTGGTGAAAGGAGTATCCTTTCACCTAAAATAAAATGTGAAGACTTGTGACCATACTGTAAGACAGGGGCAGAACTCTGGCCCTGAAGCTAAATTCTGTCTTAGACTGGGTTTTATCTGGTTCCTTCTCTTACACTAACACATGTCATTTGCTCACAGTGGTGTGTCTCCATGCGTTCAGCAAGGTTTGGTTATGCCAATAATAAGGCCTCAGTTTCATGGTGAGAGACACAGTAAGACCACTAATACTCAAAATTTAATATGCACAAATATCACATTTCTGGGTTCCACATTTCTGAGTAAAAGTGGAACCCTGGATTCTAAATACTAAACACTGTTTAACATTAGTGAAGGTGGTCCTTAGGCTACACTTCACGAAACATGGGTGAACTTAACTTTGGCCAGAGAGACTGCTGCTTATGTGTAGTCATTGGGTGACTCACTGCCAGCAACTGGCTCTTCACCTCTATAACTGAGTTTCATAATAAATCACCAAGATAAAAATTCCCTTGACTAAAATGCAAGAACTTGTATCGTACCCCTTCAAAATGGTAGGTATTGCATATAGAAAGGGTCTGAGTTGAGGGAATGACAATGCTGATAATATAAATAGCAGTCAAGTCTCAGTGTCAAGCACTATTCTAACACTTCATAAAAATTCAGTCCACACCAACAGCCTTTTGAGGTATATATTTCTATTATCCTAATTTTACAAAATCAAATTTTTTTTTCAGTTTTACAATTAGGTATTGTATATAGGTATTTATAGTTTCCTAAAAAAAAATAAAAGGTTTTGTTGCTTTTAGAATTATCTCTTACTGTTACTTTGACGTCACTGATGTCTCTTTGTACAGCAGTTTTAGTTATAACAAACTCTTAAGGGAAATGTGCTATTTTCCCTAACTTTAACCATTTAAGATTAAAATTAGGATAGGTAGTAGACAGGGAGGAGACTCAGGTCTATTTTAGAATTTACCACTCTAGGACCTAAACCAAATGACTTCACCTCTGCTGGGCCTTAGCATCCTCATGCCTAAAATGAAGGTACTAGACGAAATGATCTGGAAAGCTTATGCCAGGCCTAATATTCTCTAATTTTGGCATCTTACCAGTCTTATGTACTAAGCTTCAGAATAAATAGGAAAATTCTAAGTAAATTTCTTTACTTCCTTAATTCTCAAATCTGTTGTGGCATTATTTGGCAGTTAACACCCCATAAATCCCAAAAGATATGACATAATAATATGTAAAGGGACATTCATGTTTACAATTTGAGAGCTGAAAAAAAGGCCTAACTTACATGAGAAATTTATGTAAAAGTAGCAGAAAAATCTGAAGCTGTGGACTCAAATTTCTCAGTTGAAAAGATCTTCCTTTATGCATTTATAATTCATTTCAGAATTAAAAGCATTAAATTTTTCCAATATATTTTGATGCTTATCAAAAAATTATAAAATAAACATAGTTAACTAAAAATATTTCTCCAACATAAAAAAATTCTCTAAGGGGCAAAGAAATTAGAAAGCTAGATATGCCTTTAGAATTTGTAGACAGATCTTACTAGCTGCAGCCTGATTTATTTTTCCAGAGTTCAATAATTCCAAATACAGAAAACAAAAATTTACCTTGAGAAGCAGCTTTTCATGTTGTAGGTTATCAGAATCATATGGCTTTTTTCTCACATTTTCTACATCCAAATAGAGCTGTTTATAACCAGTTATCTGCAGTAAGCATGCCTTCATGCAGATTTTAAAACTGAAAATAAAATTATCATTTTTAAAAGTCATACCTTATCACAATAAATAATTCCTTCCATAGCTTATAGTTTATGTCTATTTAGAAAGCACTTCCTAGCTTTCAGTTTAATACAATAAGCATCAAGAGCCTCCTTAAATGTAAAACATTTTACAAAGTATTATGTAGGCTATAATAGAACAGGGCCTAGAAAGAGGACAGGAACATGGTAGGAATAGCAAACTTTGTGACTGCAAGGATTTGTCCTCTTCTTCTTTTCATGTTTCCTCTGGGAGATCTCATATATTCTCACATTGTTATTGCCAAATAGTACCAACAGACCTAAATTTCCAAGTATATAGTAACAAAAAGCTCCATGACAGGTGATCTTAGCTCTCTCCAAATCAACAGCTTATCTTCCCTGAAGAAATATGCTCTTTTTCTTAAATCTCTAAATCGATTAATGACATCACTAACCGTGGGTTCCCCAAACTAAAATCCTCTGAGTTCTGACTTTTTTTCCTCCATCAACAATACATTAAAAGATCTTGAGTTCTTACCCTTTCTGTCTCTGAAATGTCCCTCAAAGCAATCATCACATTCCTTTTACCCTGTCCTATTTATGCCTTTGTCATCTCTTGCCTGAATGACTTAGTTTCCTAGCTGTTTTGTCTTTATTCTCTCTACCAAACACCCATATCCCCAAATTTACCTCTATCTTCCTAAACTACATTTTGATAAAGTGGTTTGTTTGCTTAAAAAACCTGGGGGACAACACTTAGAGCCTTCAGTATGGCATGCAAGACTCTGCGATGTATCTCCAATCCCACACTCCAGTCCCCTCTCCAACCACTGCTCTGTACCTATTCAATGCTCCAGCTATAAACGATTCCCTTTTGTTCCCAGAAACTCAAGTACTCTGTGCCCTGCTGGCACTGTTCCTCTGCAAGGAATGTCCTCCCTTACCCATTCACCAAGGTCCAGGTCAAATGTTACCTGTTCTGTGGAATTATCCTCACAGTTCTCTCCTGTTCCCTTCCCTGTTTCAGCCAAAATAATTTGCTCCTTCCTCTATAGAAAATGCTCAATGAAGAAAAAATTGCTAAATACCATCTCAATTACTTGTTCTGGGAACACAAAAATGGAGTAAGCCAAGTCCTTCACATGTGGAACTTAGAATTTACTAGGGGAACCACAAAAGCCAGTCAGTGATCCCAGTTCAGTGGGTCAAATGCCATGATGAGAGCTCTGTGGGAGGAGAGCAAGGGCACCAGAGTCAGAGAAGAGGAGCTGGGGAGCCAGTCCTCAGGGACTGAATTTTGCAGGACAAAGTAATAGCCGAAGTTATTTAATTGTGGGAAAGCAACAGTAAGTTTTTTAAAGGCAGATGGTAAACTGGTGATAATACTGAACTGGGAACCAGAGACACAGGTTTTTTAGTCTTGCTCCTTTCACTTACCTCTCTAGACCACAATTCCTCATCTAGTGAAATTAAAGGGTTAAATCAGAGGCTCTCCACAACCCCTTCAGCTCTAATGTTTTACACCTGTGTGTGACCAACACTGTACAGGTAAAGTGCGCAGTAGAAGAGAATATGGTGGAAACAACATACCTGACATCCTTCTCAGGGCTAATATTCTTTTCCTTCATTATGTCTTCTACACATTTATCCACTTCGCTCTGAACAAGTGTTGCTTTCCGTAAAACCTATTTATATGAAAGAAAGCTGGATGAGAAAAATCCCTGAGCTGAAAAAGAACAGTAAGTTTTGAGGTGTTCAGTCAATTATACAGTGCACATATTAAAAATGCAAAATGAAACCAAATTCAATTCAAATTTTCACTAGGGTTAAATCATAAATAAATAAAAAGGATAAAATAAAATGGAAGCGGCAGGTTAAGGTTTCCTTAACTGAGAATCAACAGGCTTTCAGATGATGAGTGCTGAGCAAATGAGATACCACCACAGTGTGCCCATGAAGCAGATATATTTTATAAAATTTAAAAATTACATAATAAAAATATATGTACAAAAAATGTTGATGTAGAAGTCAAAACTTTTTTAAAAGCAAAAGAGCAAAAAGAAGAAAACTCAAATAATCTTGTAATCCTACCAGCAGAGATTGCCTCTGGTAACAGATTAGCATATATCCATAGTCCTTTTTCTATGCATATAAAACGCATTTCTTTAATAATGTCCTATAAATGTCCACAAGATCATTCAGCAAAGAAGCAAGTTCAGGCCTTTCTTACCCTTAAAAAGTTCCTTGAACTCTTATTCTGTAATCTACCATAAAAATCCTTTCAGTATCCTATATACTCCAGGCAAAATATTCTAATCACACCTAGAGTATGCTTCTGTATCTCCTGGACCTGTCTTCTAGAATGCTCCTTTCCCCAATCTCTAAACAAATCAATCCTTCCCATTTTTAAGATTGCTCAATACCAGGTACAGGAAGCTTTCCCTGATTCTATTCAAGTGGAAGCAACCTCTCCTCTTTGGAATCCTCATCATAATTTATCTGTAATCTTTTAATGGTCTTTACTACTTATTATATTAGTTACTTTTATGTATTAAGTGAAAAATTCTTTGAGGACAGACATTGTATTTAGTTTATCTTTTCATACCTTGTGTATTAAGAGATAACTGATGAAAAACTTGAATACATTTAACAGAAGAAAAACCTTAAGCAAGGCAACTTTTTAGTAAAAGACAAGTGCAGCAATGGATTATTTTAAAGGAGGGAAGGAAGGGAAAGACGGAGGGACAGAGAAAGAGAAGGAAGGGAAGGGAGGAAAGAAAAGGGAGTCTCTCAAAACAAATAAAAAGTGAGAAGGAAAATCATTAATGACTAACAATCAGTAAGGATACAAACATGGCCAACAAGGTCAAATTGGCCAAGTCCTGGGATGATATGGCTACAGGAAATGTCTTGAAGCTTAAAACCAACAGTAGTAAAATGACGACCTTCACCATGGGTGGGAATATTTGCATATATTACAAACTCCTAAAACATGAAAAACCCTAGTCAAGTGGCATCTTCTCTGTGAAGGCTTCTTCAGCCCTGGAGTTAGCTATTCCCTTTTATGCTTATACCTCAGTTACAAAGCACTTATTACACCATACTTGTTTACTTTTCTAAATTTTCTACCGGCCTATGCCTCACTTATTCACTCTCAAGTTATGAGTGAATAACTGATTGAATGAACTTGAAAACATGCATAAACTGAGCTCAGAATAGAAACATCTAGCCTCTCAGCAAAACCTTTCCCCTTCCTACACTATTTTATTGCTTTTTTTTTTGAAAATTGAGGGTAACTTAAATACGTGAAAGAACAGATGTCACATATTCCATTTGATCAGTTTTAGCAAATGCACCAAAGTACTGCACATCCCTATCAAGACACAGAACATTTCCATCATCCTAGAATGTTCCCTCTGCCCCTTTCCAATCAATCCTTCCAGGAAGCAACCACTGTTCTAATTTCTATCATCGTAACTTTGTAGTGTGCATATAAATGGAATCATAAGGTATGTGCTCTTTTGGTCTGGCTTCTTTCACTTAACATGTTACTAGGATTCACCCACATTCTTGCTTTGATCAGTAATTTATTCCTTTTAATTATTGAGTAGTATTTCATTGTATGGATATCTCGGTTTGCTTATTCATTCTCCTGGTGTTGGGTATTTGCATTGTTTCCAGTTTGAGACTAATGAATAAAACTGCTATGAACAATCTTTATTTTCTGTAAATACATGTTTTCATTTCTCTTAAACAACTAAGAGTGGAACTGCTAAGATAATAGGATATAATGTTTAACTTTCAAAGAAACTGCCTAAACCATTTTCTAAAATACTGGTACCATTTTATGCTCCTATAGGTGGTTCCCCAACACTTGGTGGTGGTTAGTCTATTTCACTTAGGAAATTTCATTACCCTATTTTAGTGGGTATGTAGTGGCCTTTCATTGTGGTTTTAATTTGCATTTTTCTGGTGACTAATAATGTAGAGCACTTTTACAAGTGCTTTCAGGCCATTTTTATTTATATATATATTATTTTATGTATACAAATAGATGAATATATGTATTATACATTATATATATTCCTTGTGAAGTGACTATCCAAGGCTTTTGTCCTTTCAAAAATTGTGTTGTCTTTTTATTAGAGTTCTAAACTTCCTTACTAGCTACAAGTCCCTAATCAGATATATGGCTGCAAATATTTTCTCTCAGCCTTGCTTATTCATTTCTTAAAAGTATCTCTGATAAGTGGCTTTTATTTTGATGAAGTCTTTCAATTTTTTTCCTTAAGTGGTAGCACTCTATCTGTTCTAAAAGAAATCTTTCTAAGGTGGCAGATATTCTCCTATGCTTTCTTTGAGAAGCTTTAAGGTTTTAGTTTATACATATGTCTAAAGTCCCTATTAAATTCATTTCCATATGTGGTAGGAGATAGTTGAGCCTTGTCTGTTTCCTACCTCACTTGGAGAGCCAGTTGTTCTGGTCCTATTTATTCAAAGTTCTTTCCTAACCTCATTGAATTGCTTCGGCATCCTTGTTAAAAATTACGTGTGGTCCACTTCTGGTCTCTTAATCTGTTATATTTATCCATTTGCCCATAAAAAGTCTTGATGTCCTCTAACTTTGTTCTTTTTGATTACTGGGCTATATTTGGCCACTTGTATTTTCTTAAACTTTAGAATGAGCTTATCACTTCTTCAAAAACAACTTGCTGGGATTTTGATTGGAACTGCACTGAATCCATAGGTCAATAAGGGGATTAACATCTTTACAATATTGAATCTTCCACATCAATGAAGATACTATATATTTCCACTTTAACTTTCCCCAGAAAAAAGAGCTTTAGTGCAGAAGTCTTGCATATCTTTTACTAAATTCATCACTGAGTATTTTGTTCCTGGATACTATGTTAAGTGGTATTGTTCTTTTTTTGTTTTCCAAAAGTCTGCTGCTGAGATATAGAAGCACACTGTGTCCTGTGACATTGCTAAACTCAACCACTAATAATGCCAGTAGTTTTTGTAGATTTCTTAGCATTCTCTACACTCAAAAGCTATGTCATTTTGTTAATAGTTTCTTTCTTTTCAATCATTATGTCTTGATTTCTTTGTCTTGCCTTAATGTACTACCTAGGATCTCTAGCACAATGATTAATAAAAGCAGAGATACTAAACATCCTTGACTTGTTCACAAGAATGTGGACAGCATTCAAGATTTCAGTATCATATTAGCTGTAGGTTTTTCACAGATGGGCCTTTAATGGATGAGGAAGGTCATTCTATTCCTGGTTAGATGAGTGTTTTTAATCAAGAATGGGTATTGAGTTCTGTCAAAAGTTTCAGTATCTATTCAAAAGACCAAATATTTCTAATTTACTTTAATGTGGTAAATTACATTCACTGATTTTGACAACTCAATGTTGATGTATTATTCTTCTTATATAATAACTGGGATCAATTTGCTAATGAATAATTTTTGTATCTATATTCATGAAGGATGTTGATTTGTAATTTACATTTATTGTCCTTGGTTTTTGTCCTTGGTTTTAGTATAAGGGTTAGACTTGCCTCATAAAATGCTGTTTCTTACTCAATTTTCTAGTTTACATAATAGTGGTATTACTTCTTCTTAAATGTTTAAGAGTTTGCTAGTTAAGCTAATATTGGAGAGTATTTGTACAAAATCCTTAAATTACAAATTTCATTTATTATGTATATGGTTATTTTGATTTTTTAAATTTCTAATTTCTTTTTGCCTTAGTTTTGATATATTGCGTTTTTAAAGGACTTTGTCCCCCCTTTCATCTAAGCTATAGCATTTATTGGCATAAAGTTGTCCATAGTATCTCATTACACTTTTAATGACTGGAAATGTAGCGATGCCCCTCTTTTCATTCTGATATTCCTGGTAATTTGGGTTTTCTCTCTTTCTCAATCAGTGTTGCTAAGGGTTATTAATATTACTAACATTTTCAAAAAATCAAATTTTGAGTTTAGTATTTCCTATTTTTGTCAATTAGTTTTTTATCAATTTTAAAATATCTTTTTTCTATTATTTCCTTTCTCTTACTTAGTTTGGGTTTTATTTGCTCTCTTTTCTAATTCTTAAGATATAAGCATGACCACTAATTTTAGGCCTTTAAACTCTTCAGGTGCACTCCACAAATTTTGATTTGTTGTGTTTTCATTATCATTCAGTTCAATTTTCTTTTTCAATTTCCCTTGTAAATTCTTCTCTGATCTAAGTGTTACTTGGATTTTTAATTTCCAGGTATTTGCGGATTTTCTAGATGCCCCATTTTTTCCTATTTCTAACTTAGCACTGTTGGGGACTTACTCTGCATAAATTCAATCTTTTGAAACTTACTGAGATTTATTTAAAGACTCAGCATATGATGTATCTGCATGGATGTTCCATGTGTACTTGAGAATGTGTAGTCTGCATTTGTTGCATATAGCATTCTATAAAAGTCAATTAGGTCAAGATGGTTAATAGTACTGTTCAAATACACAAATATTTAAGTTTTTTTGCATTATCAGTTATTGAGAGAAATATGTTAAATATTCCAGCTATGATTATGGATTCCTGTGTTTCTCCCTTAATTTGAGTCAATTTTTGCTTCAAGTATTTTGCAGTTTAATAAGTGCATCTATTTTTTAAATTGTTATGTTTTCTTGAGAAATT